GATGTGGAACAAGGATGACTGGACTGCTACTCACATCACCAGTGAGGCTACCTGGAAAACAGGACCCCAAGAAAGACACGAGGATTACCCAATGACAGAGAAATGGCTGAGATCTACATGAACAGCCTGGGCATGAGTGGAGCGATGAAAGGCAAGGGTCGAGGGAAAGAGAGCGGGAGATCCCAGCTGTATCAAGAACAGAGAGGGAGAAGAAGGAATAGGAGACCATGGTAAATGAAGACCACACGAGAAAAGGAAGAAACAAAGTGCTAAAGAGGCCAACAGAAATCCACAAAGATACCCCCACAAAAGACTGCACCTTGAATCATAAGGGGCTCCCTATTTGCCATGCCCCAGGGGCAGGTTATAGGCAGGTGTGACAGTTCCTGCTGTTACTCTAGGGTCAGTGTTTCAAGGTCAAACCTGGAACAGCTACCCACTACATCCCCCCCTTTTGTCTAAATAAGAAAATTCTAATCTAATATAAAACCATTTACAAAAGTGATCATTACCAAATATTTTCCCAGAGGAATAGGGATAATGACCTATACAAGATGAAACTAAACAAACAAGAACAACACCAAACAAGGAACACATACTAAAATCCAGAGGAGTCTGGAACATAGGTAAATGGCATGTGACAGAGATCCTTCCAAAAGATGTCTTACATTGAAGAACATGAATCTAATCCTTAATATGTTCTAGCTAAGATACAAGAAGATTGTAATTATAACTGTTAGTCTCCAATCCCATCAAAGACCTGAGAATGAATATAATAATAGGTGAGAAACTGGAGAAGGACTAAAGCAACTTTTGGGAGTCTTGCAAGACCAGACAGAGACAGCTGGTAACCTGGACAGTTACCTAGAATTTCTCAGTATTGTTGATACATTCAAATTGGCTACAGGCCTACAGTATCTATCAGATCATTTTCAGAAGCAGGTTTTTTGAAAGACCATCCTAAACCTGTCTTGACAGAGTTAAATAGTTGCTTTTCCTTGTGTCCTGATCAAACCAAAGGGACAGTATTCATGCTGTCAACACTTGAGGCAAGACAAGTCTTTGTCCAATAGGCCATTTTTTTTGTGCCAAAAAGAAGACAAACTTCCAAATGGAAATGTCTCAGAAGCCCAACATTCTCTCAGGATCAGATCAGTCCTGTTAGGAGCAGTCATGTCTCGTGTCAACAGAATTCTAAATTATCAAAACATTTAAATGCCATATGCTCTAGGTCTATGAAGTGTTTGAAGACTACCTATCCATCTGACATATGTTTCTGTAAGTCTGAAGAACCTAACTAACATAACTATAGAAATGACAAACATGAGAGACTATAACTCAGTATGACTTCTCTGCTAAAATAACTTAAGGACTAATGCTTCCCATAATAAGATAAATAGTCTGTAAGCAGATATACTATATAAGGACAATGACTAACAGATTGTGACAATACACAAAATAGATTAAACAGAGGTAGGAATGAATATATAGTACAATATGCAATATGACAATAATCTTAAACATATATCAGTATACAAAATATCTTAAACAGAGGTAGAACATACATACAGTTTGACAAATATAATTTTACATTTGTATCAATACACAAAATACTTCAAACAGGAGTAGAAATATACATACATTACAACAAATATAGTTCTGTATTTGTATCAATATACAATGTATCTTATATAGGCATATAAAAACAGTTTGTATTTCTATCAATATACAATCAACCAATCAGTGAAAATTATCTAAGGTTGATACTTTACTAAATTAATTTACTAGTAAATACAATAATCTACCTCTAATATCCTATACCTACCCATTCCCCCTTTTTTTAAAAGAAAAAAAGAATATAGAGTCCAAATTTTATTGTTCCACCCCCAACCATACAACCATACATTTATCTCAGAAAAAAATGAAACATTTGGGAGAGGGGCATCATTTTCTTATAGTTATTTCCTGTTGTTTAGGGGTCGATGGTATCTCTGTGGGGTACTAGAAGAAAGCTTAGATTGTTATGTCTCAATAAGGCTATCCATAGAGTATGCAGCTAGTCTCAGAAATGGATAAGATTTTCTGATATCTGGCTAAAACTGTAGTATGATGGACTATCTCATCTTGGAACTGTCCTGAAGAGTTTTCAGTCTGAAGCTGATCATGAATAATGTTCCTAGGTACCATGGCATCATTCTTTATTGGGTAGAGTTGTTGTCGCAGGGCCCCATTTTCCTTCTGGAAACTTCAGAAATTGCTATTGGAGAAAAATTACTTTTTGTTGTGGAAAAATGAGCATTATTAATATCAAAGTGGAAAGTTTGGATTTAAGGATAACATGGCATTTAAAAAGGAATTTCAAGAAATCAAGAATAAGCATGGGGAGAAATAGAATCTTGATGACAATGGTCCTTTTTTATTGTTTTTTTCTGTCCTACATCAGATGGCTCTTTTGATATGAGGCAGAATCTCTCTCTCTCTCTCTCTTTCTCTCTCTCTCTCTCTCTCTCT